CCACCATCTGGTCCGCAATGTCCTGTCGCTGAGCCGCTATGTCCTGTCGCTGAGCTGCTATCTGTTCCGAGATCCCAGCCAACATCGATTCCGCTGAAGCTGGTTCCTCGGAGGTGAACGTCTCTGGATCTTGACCTACGCTCACCATATACTCTATGAGACGATGCTGAAGTGTAGCCTTGATCCCTGTTGTGTCGAGATCTCTCTCCTCCAACTCGCGTTTCAAGTCCACCACTCTCAACTCGTGTAGTTTCTACATTGCAACGGTCTGTTCACTTCACACTGGGATATCCCACTTCTGACACCAATTGTTACGTTATTCGGGTGCAGAAGCGAACACGACACTATTTATTTTCGAACTGATTTATTTGAACTATAGAAACACTAATTCATATCGAACTTATAACTACTATTTATGTAAAACGATTTATATCACGCGGTATATAACTGTCTCTCTGACACTCGCTGCTTAACTGACTGACTCAGTTGTTCGGCCGTCTTATATATGAGAACACATGGCAGGCTTTGGCTCGAGAACGTTCTCGAATGATCTTCAGTCTCCTTCTTTTTGTTCTAGAAGCTTCTTAGATCAAAACCTCTTTCTCTAATTGTTCCATCGATTGTTTCCAGAACATTCCGGAATCTTCTGTGACGTTCTTTGTCACTGCGGCATATATTGAGTGTTCGGAAATATGCTGGTGTATGTAGGAATCATTGAGAGGTTGGACAGCAATCTGGGATGCGTGATACAGGATGATCGTTGTACTCCTGCCTTCCTGCTGATGTTTCTAAAGCCCCTCCAAGGGAAATATCATTACAATACCATTGGATAGAGCGGGAAAAGTGGCAATGAGAATATGTGAAGTCAGAAAAAATTTAAACGAAATCGCGGATATTCGGTTTTTTCCAAAAATCTCCGGAAGTATTTGGAATCTACAAACTTTTGAGGCGACATTTTTATCAGCATCAGATTGCACAACTTTGCAATAATTCAACCGACTTTGTATATATGTTATTGTTACCGAGATCCCAATGATACCCCTCGAATTTGGTACACCCTGTATATCACCATCAAAGAGCATTCTACATTACCTTTTAGTGCTGGGAGCACTTGCAATAAATTCCAGTCTTCTAATAACTTCTGCAGCAGAGTTGAATCTTCGTCCACGTCCTGGTCTGGATTATGGTCGAAGGAAACAGGAATAGCATCTGATGTTAGTCTTACATCTGAATCATTTAGATCATCCAGAGATAAATTCAAAATAACAACGCCGTTATTTTCATTTCCTATCAAGGCGCCTGAATTTTCTGCCATGATGCTTGTAAGAATAAAAAGTCAAGTGAATTGGTGACACAAATGATACCTTGGATGCAATTGAGAATTACAAAAAAAAATTATTAATAGTCTATACCTATCAGGACATAAGTACTAAAATTCAGAATCACTTGAGTCAAATCTCAGATTGAATGAATCAGGTACCTATATAAGTATCATAACCTAACATTTTATACCTCAACATCTCTTCAAAAACAATGGCTACTTGGAAACTTGACTCGAGAATTCCAGAAATTAAAATTGTTCAATCGTGATCTTGAGATTTTCTATTGAATTCACCATTTATGACATATTCCAAACACATTCTTCATGGACTACTCATGATTGTTTACCGCCAAACCATTACAAACATGAAATCATTAAAAGCTACCTATGTTATTAAATCCTTGTTTGATTAAATAATTTTTATAAGGTAACAAATTTCAGAGCATGATTAGTTACACTCACCTAAAAGTACTATGCTAATGATGTATTTCTTCACGAACTTCACAATTATTTGGAATCCGGCACAAGCACAAGATGCAATTGCAACGCAAAAATATTTCTAAATGATATCAAGAGCATCAGTATGAAGTCGACTGGCACCGGAATTTTGATGCGGTTACTATATTGGCTCTTAAATTCACGTGACCAGAGACGATATGTTGTCTTTTCAAAAGGTTAAGAAATCTATTCAATATGTTTCGACTGCGCTCAGAATTCAGAAGCTCGCATTTTATTCCGAAAGAGTGCAGGGGCATTTGTAAATATAAAAAGTCCGTGGGATTTTGAATGAAGCAAGTGTAATATTGGTGGCAATCGATAGGTAATGAGCTATAGAATCGTTTACTACCGGGTGTTTTGCCTCAAAGTGTGACCGAGCCGGTGTATGACGTCATACTTCAATGGCCTCCAACGCCGACATTCGACCCTTTCTAGCGCTCTAACTTTTTTATGCCTAATATTACGAAGATTTAGTAGGGGAAATTTTTTATTCATAATAAGACAAGGAACATAAAATGTAATATACAAATTCTCATTCTCCTACTGTTTATAAAATATATGCATCCTAATTAGACATAAATTAAAATCAGTACATTTTTTGGGTTATAAACTCAAAAAAATTTAAATACTTGAAAAATACAACAAAACCCTCATTATCATTGCACAATTTACTATGTGAGGAAATATATGATATGTTAACATGATAATTTTGACTTATGAGTCATCATCTGAGCAGTCCGACAGTTGCATTCGAATGTCATTTTCATTGTTATCACATTGATCTTCCTGTCCACTACATTTGCACAGCTCTGTACATCTAAGTGATTGAGTCCGGCATTTACAATTGACAGCACATCGTCCTTTATCACAACCGCAACGTACCAATTGTAAAATAACTTCTGGGGCGCATGGAATATCAGTCATAATAGGAAAATATTCATTTTCCCTCTTTTCCCATCCAAAATTGGACGGGTCAGGGAGATCTGGGTGTGGAAGGTTAGCCCGTCGCCACTCCATCACTTGATAGTGAGTTCTCAAGATGTGTTGGTGTAAAACTGGCCTTGTTGGCGGCAAGTTTTCACTTTGAATATATTTTTTGGTGAATAGCCACCACCGGAGTTTACCGATGTCTGAAAATTGTTTGCCTTGGAAATACACGCGGCAAATGAACTTTTCTATCAATTTTTCATCTTCAGGTGTAAACATTTCTGGGCATCCTAATCTTCCGAGTGCCTGTAGAATATGTTCTTCCAAAGATTCGAAAACTTTCCAGAAAGATTGTTTGCCTTTATTCTTCAAACAACCTGTTGTATCACACCCAGAGAGTGCATGCAGTCCTAATAATGCGTAAACTTGCTTGGGATTCAGGGAAGAGTATACACGATTGAGTTCTATTGACCTCCTATTAGCTCCAGTCCCGGTTACAAATACACAGTTTAGTGGGAGCAACTGTGACCACCACAATAACAGAACAAACACGTCTGTATCTGGTGAAAATATGTGTAAAGCAGAAGCACGGACCGTTACATTTAAACAATGTAAAATGATTTTTGTGTCAGCTTCCTCGTGACTACTTGCAAGTTGTGAAACATCAGTTCCAAGCGAAGATTTTGCCTCGTTCCTCCAACTAACAACTATATTCTTCTCAATTTCTTGTGCATGTACAAGTGCTTTCTGAGCGAAGTAAGCTGTCAACTCATCTTTAGTCCTTTGATGAGACAGTAAAGATTTCAAAGTTACTTTCCTTATATTTGTAGAGTCTGTGATTTTATATTGAACAGGCCGTACTCGACCAGCCCTCTTCTTTCTTATCGAATTCTTCAGTGACATTTCGACGTACGTGTCAAATACTAGGTGAGTTTCGTCGTATTTCGTCAGATAGCGATCAATCTTCTTGATGAACTCCTTTGAAAGATCCAAACACGTCTTGACACTCGCATCTTTTTGCAGACCTTGCACCTCTGCCATGCCATCAATAACTGCTACAGAATGTTGTGTGGAATTGGATTGGTTTGACTGAGTTGCTGCTTCATTGGATGAAGATGAAGTTTGTTGAGTCATATCGTCAGAGTTTGATGTTACCAGGCCCTCGAGAATTTTTATCAAGTTGCTTTTGTTGGAAGTGAAAATCATTGATCCGTCTAAATTAAACATTGATCGGGGAACAGCAGAAAACTCATAATCACTGAGACATTGCTGCAAATCGATGTCTGGTCGACTTCTTGAAACAATTAGCAATCTAGTGAAAAGAGAACGATCTGCCTTTAACTGTATTACACTATCCGAAACTTTCGTCGATACAACTTTGTTGGCCTTACTACACAAATAAAGATTTGCTTTTGTCATTGGTGCCCATAGATTAGATGTATCTGATTCTATCCTTTCTTGTTTGAAAATGCTGTACATCTGAAGTCCTTTCTCAGACATTCTCGTTGTGTCGTTCTGGATACTTTCTGTGAAAACCACCTTTGTGCAGATATTAATTAGTTCTTTTCCTTCATAAGTTACAGGATTTGTCATTGCCATGATACAGTCATAAATCATTTGAGCATCTTTATGTTGGCGAGACGCTCCGCCTGCTGTGAGATGATGGTGTTTCGACCTTTTCTCATCTGTCATACCCAACATCTCTTTAGCTCCTGTTGCTATTTTACAAAGTTCTGGAGAAGCTAAGAAAAAACGTGTTGAAGCAGGTTTTCTTTGAGTGATATTAACCACTCCTCCAAGTACTTTCATTGCTCTGTTTTCTTGTTCGAGGGCTTCATCTGTTCCTAATGAACAAAAAGGTATCTTCGTTTTGTTGACAACCCAACCACCACTACTCAACTCACTCCACAAATAAGGATCTTTTGTTTCGAGCTGATTCATTTCTGCCAAATACCAAGCTAACATACTTGCATAATTCAATAAATCTAGGGCAAAGAAGTACTTCACGAACTCTTCTAATGATGACAAATGCAATGCCCAGTTTCCAGTTCGGACAGATCTAATAAATAGAAGCAGTGTATCAACCATTGTCATATATTGAAGTAAAACTTGAAATGTTGGTTTTTCATTGGCTTGACTAGCTTGGAAAGACTCCAGTTTGTTCAAGACATTATTATTTTCCATAACCTTCATCACTTCAAAATGAGTAGTTTTGATTGCCTCTATATCCTCTCCTTGTAGATCCTTTAGTAACTTGTTCAATTGTGGCTCAATATTTTCTTCTATAACACTGTTATCTTTCACAAACTCGTCGAAGACACACTTGAAAAGTGCTAGTCTTAAAGATGTATGGGCATTGATTGCCCTTCGTACACACTTCCCAGACAAAATTTGAGAAACAGTTTCATCATACAGTACGGTTAGCGTAGTTCCTAAACCTGTGCCGTCTATAAATCTTCCAATGCAGCGAAGCATTGCCATAACTATGTGTAGCTCTCCTGGCCTAAGAATCCAGTTTTTCGATATATCTTTCTTCGCCATAGATAACTTCAATATATGTCTGTACAATCCTAAATCCAAAGTCACAACAGTTTTTTTGCCGGGCGTAATATTAGACGTTACTTTTTCCAACTTATTCATGAGACTGAGCTGTGTTTCTACTTTGGTTGGACTAGAATCTATGAGGGGCAGTACACATATTCTCGTTTCTTTCCTTGGTTTTTCACTTGTTATTGAATTGAAGGCTGACCAAATCGGAACTGCATTCGTAAACTTCAAGTTATTCGTTGGTGTCTCCTGTTCTTGGTTTGAAAGAATACAATTTGTGTCTTGATATTCGTTCACGTCCGAATCTACATAGGGTGATAATGAAGAAGTATGTGCTATCATCCAAATGAGATCTTCATTTTTATACGACCACAAATCGGTCACACTTCTCCCGGTAGTAGCTGTTTCCCGATTAAGCACAGGGTTTTTTGGCCTGTATCCCTTAGGAATGCTACCTCTGATAGTTTCAGAAACAAACTGGGGAATATTTTGTAGAGAACGAAGTGAGGATTTTCCTGATATTTCTATTGGGTTCGTAACGTCTGATGTCTCCTTTGCTTGATAAATAACCATGACTGTACCATGCAACGTTCCTTTGCCATATGGAGTATCCTCTTGGAAGTCAACATTGTCCGCAGCACAATACACAAACCTCCCTTTCACCAAATCCGCTGGAATATAAACTCCTCCACTTTCTTCAGTGCGACGTATAACTTCTGCTGCAATTTCTGTTTCGAGCCGAAGAACTTTCGAATAATCTATGGATGCACCAATTCTGTGTAACATTTGAATAATAAATTTACTGCGCGTAGAAGTATGCATAGTTAGCCCAACTGCCACTTGCAACGGTAATTGACGGGTATGTCTACTGGTAATTGCAGTTACGTTAGAAGCTTGCCTTGGCGAAAGCATTTCAAACATAAAAATTTGTGATAATTTTAGAGCAGTTTTTGTGATATTAACATCACGATTTTGTGAAGAACTATTGACGTCTATCTGCCCTTGACAACACCACTTGAAGAAAATACTAACTTCTTCTGGAACAACTTCTTCTACATTAACGTCATCAAAACTACCAGTGAAGGTCCATTTCTCGCACTTTAGAACTGCCTTCCGTAAAATGTTTGATGCTTTATGAAGAATTTTCATATCGTGCTCAGCATCCTTGTATTCTTCTTCGGTGATTGCCAACGCAACATCTGCTGATACTTTTAGTGATATCCGTTGTGGCTCGTTTACCCTTTTTGGCTTACTAAATACAATGCCAAGATATTCTAGTTCTTCCTCTATGAAAAGCTTGAGTTGTTTCCTAGACAACCTTTGTTCTGCCAGAAGGCCATTGTCGGAAGCGATTCTCTGGTAGAAATTTTCAATTTCACCCATTGTCGTCACATTGCCATCGAGAAGAAAATCCCTGAGGGAAGCTACAAACTCAACGTTTGTTCTCTCAAAACAAGTTGACGTCAATGGGTCACTTGGCTTTGGTCTTAATATATTAACAACATGTGTATTCCAGCACATCTTGTGGTAGGAAATATCTCGTGCGTGACAGTCTAAAGGATCAGAACAATCACTAAGGCGTGCACCAGACTCTATTTTTCTCAGGTGGGTTAAAATGAATGAGACAATAAACAAGGCACAAATCGAATATTTGTCGGTTCAATATTAATCTACAGATTCTACTCAACACACAAAAGAACCCCTGATATCAATATATTCTTAATACTACGAAAAGTCAAAAAAAATAGTCTGTGCACTTCTCTCACTCTCTCAGAAAATGGAGAATCAAACTTCTTTATAAAGTAACAAAAACAGAGTACTCACAAATAATCCTTAACTTCGCACTTCACCAGTCGTCGTTTAGGTAAATATTTCTTAAGCAGGTTACTCAATTCACCTCTCCGAAATACTTTTAGTGCAGTGGACCACGTCTCCACACTCTAATCGAGACTTCGTCTCGATTTCGGATGAAAAATCAGATTTGTCGAGTGACCTCTTTGACTGTTAGGTGCCGACTGATTCTTCTCTCTCCTTCTCCGGTCACCCCATCTTACTGTATTCTTGTCTCTATTGCGCACTCGCGGAGAATATACGGTCGAACGCAACACTGTCTTATATCTACTATTTATACTACACACAATACACATACAACTACTAAATATTACAGGGTAGGCCTGGTACATAACCCCCCTATTAATTTTTTTTTTATCTTTTCTACAAAAAAAAACAAAATTAATACTCAGTACTTCATACACTTAAATATTTAGTACTGGTTGTTTGTATCTCTTTAAATTATAGATATTTTGAAACCCTAAGGATTCACCGGTTAAGTCCTCTATCACCTCATAAGAGTTAGACCCCCTCTTTGAAATGATGGTACAAGGCCCACGGAATAAGAGGAAAAATTTCTTTATCTCTCGTGACTCGGCATTTGATTGAGGGTGGGTACGGACCAACACCTTCTCACCCACAACTAAATCTGTAACTACGGACCTCTCACGATTATATCTTTGTTTTCGTTTTTCCGCCTTACTAAGTAACCTCTCTCGCGCTATTTCAATACTGTCAACTACCTCCCTGGTTTCAGCATCTGGAAAATTTATCATTTTCGAATACGGATTTGGTTTTTCCCGACCAAAATGCAAAGTTTCTGGAGTAAAGCCAGTACTGTCATGTATACACATATTCAACCATTTCTCTACCCGACTAACTTCATTCGCCCATTTAGTCTGTTGACTATGGCATAAGGACCTCAATAATCTACCTATCTCCCTATTCACACGTTCCGTCATGTTACCCTGTGGGAAGTACACAGACGTATGCGAAATTTTTATATTCATTTCTGTCAAAGATATTACCCACAAATTACTTGTGAATTGCGACCCATTGTCCGATAAAATGACTCTCGGAGTGGTCCCAATAATCTCATTATAAGAACGTACACATTTCAATACAGTTTTTGTGGTAGCTCTACAAATAGGGAACAATTTCACAAATTTACTGAATGCATCAACCATTACAAACAGATAACAAACCCCCCCACGTCCTTTAGGTAGAGGACCCATAAGATCCACACACACAATATCATTTATATTTGCTGGTATCACACTATTCATGGATCCAAACAAATGTGGTGAAATTTTTGCCTTCTGGCACACATCACAACTCGATACGATTTGTCTCACTCTTTTCCTCATCTTGGGAAAGAAACAGAACTTACTCAAATTCAAATAACATTTTTCACTACCAAAGTGTCCGTTATCATTATGCTCCTGAAACACAGTTTCTACAATGTCACTACGTGGTATACACACTTTAGCCCCAAGACTATTTTTTGAACCCCTCCGGAACAATATATCATCATGGATGAAAAACCAATCTTTCAATCTTTGTGGAGCTTCATTCGAAACCAATGAATCTTTTACCCCTAAACAAAATTCATCTAATTTTTGCGAATCCTTCAAATTCTTGAAATTTTTCTTCACCAACTTATAAAGATTAGAGCATGACAACTTACACATTTCAATACTATCTGGAATATCGGCTAAATCTCCATGAGACCCTTCAGGATATCTTGATAAGGCATCGGCCAATTTATTGTCTGAACCTTTATGGTACATAAATTCTATATTATACTCCTGCATGTACAATGACCACCTCATTAATCTTGAATTTAAAAGACGACATGACTTAATGAACATAAGAGACTTATGGTCATCAAAACTGTGAGCTTCCGTCCAATAATGAAAATCCTCCATTTTTTTAAAGCAAAAATAATGGCCAAAGCCTCTTTCTCCGTAACGGTATAATTTAATTCTGGACCATGTAAAGTCCTACTTCCGAAAGCTACAATATCTTTGTCCCACACATCATTTTTTTGATAAAGGCAAGCCCCTACAGCGTACCCCGAAGCATCAGCTTCTATAAAGAATTCCTTCCCCATATTAGGATGTTTTAGCATAGAAACATCTAAAAAACAATTTTTCAAATCATTGAATACCTCAGTTTCCAGAGATGTCCATACCCATGAAGTTCCCTTTTTTAATAAACGCAATAAAGGAACAGTTTTTTCAGAAAAGCGATTACAAAACCTACGATCATAATTAATTATTCCTAAAAAGGATTTTAGATGTTTCACATTCTTTGGAATCGGAAAATTGATAATTGTAGATATACGATCAGGGTCCATACTGATTCCCATTGGAGACACAATATGTCCTAAAAATTTAACCGAAGAACGAGCGAACAAACATTTTTTTAACTTTATTGTGAGACCAGCCTCCTGAAATTTTCGAAAAAGGCATTCCAAATGATATAAATGCGTTGGCGCATCCGGAGAATAAACCAAAAGATCGTCTACATACGGTATGACGAAACTATCGAATTGAGAACTCAAAATTTCACTCAGAGCTCGAATGAAGCTCCCAACTGATGTTGACAACCCAAATGGTAACACTTTAAACACGTACGTGTGACCTTCGAATGAAAAACCTGTATATTTGCAATCTTTTTTAGCAATAGGAATTTGCCAATACGAGGCGGTTAAATCTAAGGTACTCAAGAATTGCCCCGGTTGAAATTCATACAATAATTCCAAAGGATTCGGTGGAATCACGTGATCCTTGTTCATTCGCATATTTAAGAAGGTGGCATCTAAACACAGCCTTACCCCACCATCACCTTTTTTTACCATCACCAAAGGACTTACATATTCCGTCTGTGATTTCTCTACTACCCCCCACTCTTCCATTTGTTTTATTTGCCTTCGAGCTTCCTCCTTATAGGCATACGCAATCGGATACTGCTTGCGATGAAAAGGGGTATCATCACTTAACAAAATTTCATGCTCATAATGATGGACACGCCCAGGCTTATCCGAAAAAATCGGTTTGAATGCCATTAATAAATCCTGCAATAACTCTTTATGAGTTTTCCCAAACATTTCCGCACTAAACGCTATTTTAATAATATCATTATCCGAATATTGATAATTATCCTCAAGCACTAGCTCCGTATTATTCAACATAACCTCATCATCAAGAAACTCGGTTACGGAAATTCCACTTCGACCTTGAGTTTCACTGTCGAATTTTATCTCCTGTTCAATTCCAGAAAATTTACCTTTCAACCTATCATTTTTAAAATCGATAACTACCTCATTATCTCTCATCCAATCCAACCCGAAAATTATATCGCGAGTTAAATTTGGGATCACTAAAAATGGATAATCTATATTGAAACCTCCCAAAGTTACATTTAAATAAACTTGTTCGCGAACTTTGGTACTCTTTTGTCCCCATGCACCTACCAACGTAGCACACCCTGTAGGAATCCTCGGTATATCTGATTTCATCAACAAAATCTTATTGAACAAACTCTCCGACACACCCGTCACCTGCGAGCCAGAATCCACCAATGCTCGAGCCGATATCTCCTTTTCAACCTTCAACTCCACAGTCGGTAAAACCACTAAAGTTTTCATCCCGTCACCTACACTCTCTTCTAATAATTCCTCAGAATTCATTATGAAATTTGTCTCACCTCGATTTTCACCAGTACCCTGACTTCTATTGGGTTGATTTTCAAACCGTCCCCCATTTCTATTCCCTACATTCCTACTTCTTCCATTTTCTGGACACCCATCTTGATAATCCCCATTACCTACTGATCGTCGCCAATTCGATTGCCCGGACTGATTCGATTCCCTTGAATTCTGATTCGATCCCCTCAAATTCTGATTCAATCCCCTAGAATATTGACTATTTTGATTATTATTATTGAATCCTGTAACACCGTTTTGACTCTGACCCCCCTCATAAGTCATATCAATTCGTCTCAAGAATTCTTCAACTTCATCTATTGTAGAAACACCCGAATTGAAAAGACCCCTTTGAACCTCAGGTGGAAAATGAGTAACAATCATTCTAATCAACTCATTATCTGTTGGAGGTTGGGATAAATATTTCGCTTCTTTCATCACTTTCAGAAAATAATCCGCCCTCGTCCCTTTATTCTCATACACCCCGTATCTTATTTTCAACAACGTCTCCCTCTCCTGTTCAATACTCCAGTAACGATTGGAAAAAGCATTTCTAAATTCATCGAACGAAACAAATTCTTTTATTTCCGCCCAATCTTGTGCTGAACCACGTAGGCAGTTGACGGCAAAAAATACCCTTTTATTCTTTGGTACTCCCGCTTCATCGAATAAATTTACTAATTTTCGCATGAACAGTACCGGATGCATCGGTCCGTTAGGTGAAAAGTGCAAATTCGCCCCACCAACATCTTTCCAAATTGCAATATAATTTTTTTGAAACATTTCTACGCCACTGCCAACTTCATTTTTGAGATCAACTTTTTTTGACCCAACATTCGTTATCCCTACATCACTGGTACTGATATCTTGTAACTTACGATCAATACGATGGCTGAAACTGAAACACACGAGGAAAATACACCTACTCACTTTCACCCACAAAATTTTGATATCTGGTTCACCGCCATATTTACGTAATAAACTTTCTAAACTATCACTTAAAAAGTCTTCGCGCAACAAGCATTTGCTACTTATTCCTAGACATACCAAGTCAATTTTCACCCGAAGCTTTTCCTATAATGCTGCTAAGCTCTACAATACCATCCCTGTTGAATTCAAGGAATTCACTTTAAATAATTTTAAGAAACGGCTGAAATTGTTTTTCTCTGGGCGGCAGTAGATTTTCCTTTTTTATGACGGCGTGATTTTTGATCTGGTTGTAACTATCTTATTCAGTGCATTAAACTGTACTGTCCACTTATACATTTATACTAATTTTCTGTTAATTATTCCGATAACCTATGTACAATTCTTAATCATAAATTCATTTTGAAAATTCTGTAATTTAGTTTCATATTAATTATATTTATATCATTCTACCGGTTGGGTTGAAAAGCAGCTTCTTAGCTGAACCCCGCCCTTTCATCTATTTGTTTCTTTCTCTACCAGTTGTGAAATGATGATGATGAATAAAGACATATTATTACGTCCCGATAATTGAGAAAAATTGTTACATAAACTTGTGTTCAAATTCTCAAAAGCCGTAGTTAATACATCTCCTAACACCCCAGTAAGATTCTTATTTATACCCTCAATCAACTGAAACAATTCCGAATCAGGTTTAACATCAACTTTTTCTTCTAATGAACACTCCCCCTCTTTTCCTTTAGTTTTTCCGGTGGACTTGCCCATCTTAAGAAATACAAATACTAAATGAGTAGATACAAAATAAAATCCCACAGATACTACCCTACTCTATCATCTGAATGAACTACGAAATCAACACATCAACAATACACAATACATCAACAATACATCAACACAAAAGTAGTTAAACCTTTTAGTAACGAAACATTCAAGGTTAAAATGTCAAATATCCAAGAATGTCTGCACCAACTAAACAACCGAAAAACATCGACTTGTGACCTCGAATCACGGTATGCAATATTACCGTTATCGTGCCCCTTAGTTGCGCGCCAAATGCACCAGACTCTATTTTTCTCAGGTGGGTTAAAATGAATGAGACAATAAACAAGGCACAAATCGAATATTTATCGGTTCTATATTAATCTACAGATTCTACTCAACACACAAAAGAACCCCTGATATCAATATATTCTTAATACTACGAAAAGTCAAAAAAAAATAGTCTGTGCACTTCTCTCACTCTCTCAGAAAATGGAGAATCAAACTTCTTTATAAAGTAACAAAAACAGAGTACTCACAAATAATCCTTAACTTCGCACTTCACCAGTCGTCGTTTAGGTAAATATTTCTTAAGCAGGTTACTCAATTCACCTCTCCGAAATACTTTTAGTGCAGTGGACCACGTCTCCACACTCTAATCGAGACTTCGTCTCGATTTCGGATGAAAAATCAGATTTGTCGAGTGACCTCTTTGACTGTTAGGTGCCGACTGATTCTCCTCTCTCCTTCTCCGGTCACCCCATCTTACTGTATTCTTGTCTCTATTGCGCACTCGCGGAGAATATACGGTCGAACGCAACACTGTCTTATATCTACTATTTATACTACACACAATACACATACAACTACTAAATATTACAGGGTAGGCCTGGTACAGGCGAATCTTCAAATCTTCCCTGTGTGACATTTCTATGGCTTTTTTTAAACGAATTCCTGCTGAATCAGTTGCTATTTTACGTAGCTGATCCTTTTTGGAACCCGTTTTGTCACAGAAAATACACTTGTCCCTTTCATATAATGGTAATTCTGACCTTAAAATAAAGTTTCGTGATTTTTCTTCACAGTTAGAGGTTGAAGGCAATGGCTCAAGTAGTCGCTGCTGGTACAATCTTTCACTTCTTCCCATGTTTGCCTTGTGTGTACATTTTTTATAGCAGTCAGAATGCCATTTAGCATTCTTGTTTTGAATACTTTCAGAAGAAAAACTGCTCATGCTGCTGAGCTGGCATAGAATATTCACATATTCCATTTCGTCCCATTCCGCTCTCTTTTTAATACACTCTATTGCTTTATCATACGATTTAGGAGCCACTAATGGGATATTCTTCTTTTCTTGACACAAAATACACAAGGAAAAGTCTGTGATCTTCTTTTTTATCCTTGCTGAATGTGGAAGTTCCAATTTCAAAACGGTGTCGATTTTTTGATGTGAAGACATTTCAATTAGTGTACATTCAACCTGAAACAGACAAAAAACTAATCAGAATTCTCACAATAATTTGTTAAAATATAAAACCTATTTCAAATCAATAAAACAGAGTCAAAGTTTTTTTATCTCCCATTATCTATGAATTAGTGATAGTTATGAAAATTTTTGTCATAACATTTTTTGTTCCTTTTTTTATTACGAATAAAAAATGTTTTTTACAGAATCTTCATAAAAACAGGAATAAACAAGATAGAGAGCTTTAAAGAGTCGAATGTCAGCGTTGGCAGCCATTTTTGAAGTATGACGTCATACACCCGCTCGGTCAGACTTTGAGGCAAAACACCCGGTAGTACACGATTCTATAGCTCATTACCTATCCATTGCCACCAATCTTACACTTGCTTCATTCAAAATCCCACGGAATTACGTATGCCCCAGAACTAAAAGTACGTACTTTCAATATAACTGGACAGATGAAATGCACTGCAGTTATGAAGTAACTTGAATTTCTTTCAACAATGTCTCTTCTTAGAACAAATATAACACGGTCGGCACTGATAATTTCAATAGTGTATCATTTTGAATATTCAAGGAAAGGATATTATACATATTTTGAAGTGACATATTTGGTAATTTGATAACTAATACACCTAGGACATGAATCAATCATATCGATTTCTTCATTTTGATCCGGTTTATAGTGATTTTTAAAATGCATTATTTTTCTGAGTGTAGTGTTACCAACATTTTTATTATTTTACGTTGGTACCCTGAAGACAAGGTCAGAATGGTAAGATAGATTTTTTTTTCTCAACGGTAGCTGAACTACGAAAGAGCAGAAAATTACAACTTGTAGTAATTCGAAATGTAGTGAATCAAATCATTGCAAGTTGTATGTTGCAGTATTGCGAATTACTGCAAGTTGTAAGTTGAAGTAATTGAATTGCTGCACGTTACAAGTTGCAATAATTCGTTTTATTTTTTTTATTTTGATGATACTTTTACGCTTTCGTACTCAACTTATCCTTAGATCATACAGGAATGATTTGATAACTTCTCTATCTGATGACCTTGAAATCCGCCAATATCTCAGAGACAGAGATATGGAGTAATGTAAAATCGTTCAAAATTATCAGTTCTGTGATCATGTCAAAATGATCGAGACAACGCGCATGCCATATTGGAGATGGTACAAAGTGGTACATTTTCTTCACTCAGGTTGGTACAACTGTAAAAAAAGTCCTGGTGGCAACTGGCAACGCTGACTAAAGTAGGCAGTCGGTTAGAAAAATAACCTCAAGGGTTGTATAGTTATTAAAGTTCTGCATTGGGGACATGTATTAATCGTTCTTCGGCCAGGGCCAAATCTGATGACACATGAGCTGCATAAGCAGAAGTGATTACAGTCCATTAGTGCATATTCTCGTTGATTTGTTGAACATACTATGCACCTCAACGCTATCACTGCTGCATCACCATTGCCTAAAAAAAGCGTGAGTACTTGTTTCATTATAGTAATACCATAATACCAAAATATTTCAACTGTACAGCTATTATGCAGGGTGATTCGTTTTTTTTTTCGACAAAAGAAGTGATAGTAAAAGGTGGATTTATGCAGCACAAATTTACACTAAACTCCAACTTACATTTACACTCCACCTTTAACTTACAGTGGACCAAGATTCATGATTAGAATGAAAAGACAAATAGCTGACAATCAGTTGCACAGGGACTTGTACCTCATAGTGTGCTTAGAGGTTTGGAAAATTTTGGGAGAATTTTAAGAGAAATATAACTTTTCAACCTGGTAAGGTAGTTAAGGGTAGGTTGACTAACTACATCTTTATGTACTACATGTGCTAATTTTTATCAAATATATCAAGTACCTGTTTCTGACGCTTCATTGTGGGAATCTGATGAGGAAAGGAGCAAGGGAGGAATAATTTCTTCTTGTCTTCTTTCTGAATCTGGAGTGTTCTCTTCAGAGGACGATGATGATGAGAAAAGGAGCAAGGAAGGGTTCATTTCTTCTCGTCTTCTTATTGCTATAAATACAATCAACATTCGTTGATGCGATGGAATTCTTTATTTTCTCATGAATAAAAGGTATACATCTACATGAGTATAATGTTGTCAGATTATTGGAAAATTATTATTAACTGAAATGAATAATGGTGATTAATAATTCATTCAGAAAACGGCTGTCATAAATTGAAGAATTCTTTTGATGCTTCAATGTTGAAAACCAAATTCTCAGTAGAAACATATTGAATTTGTGTTCCAAACATTCACACTAAAACAACTAAGAACTTCCCCGTCTAAGCAGAGTTTTGATATTTCAGTTGATATGGATGCTTGGATGATATAAATTGCTTATAATAATATGTAAATACTTACCTCTGTTTATCATGTCCTCCATTTCATTTCAATTTTGCTGGTCATCTGAAATTTCATGAAACTATTGAATCAGTATGTAAACTCACTATTAGTAGCCTCCTGTACTTGCTCTTCCCCTCGCTCTTGCCCTTGGACATTGTTCTGATCATCTTAAAAATAAATATTGCTCTTGTTACTGAACATGCTTCTATTTACACCTAGAAGGATTTCCTTTGGAACTGTTTCTAGGGTTAATGTATTTTTACCTTAACTAGTCAGTCACGACTACCCTCCTCCTAACAATATATGTGTGTGCATATACAGTGTGTCCCTAGACCAGTGGGACAGTTCAATATCTCCTGAACCAATAGGAATTTTCAAAATATTATAATTCCACATCATATCACATCATGAGTGCTAACTTCAGGAATGACTAAATTTTATACGAGGGGCGCAAGAAAGGCTCACAAAATCGAACATCAATTTTTTCAAATGGAACACCCCATATATTTCAACATATCTGAATGCTCATTCCTTTAGGCTAATTATCAGTTTTTTATTTTTGAAAATCCGACAAGGCGTTGCGAAGTTATACCAGTATTTCATGAAATGCAGACTTTTTTTATAGACAAACCCATTATTCATACTACTAAGAATTTATGGAATCATTCAAGACTGTTGGAAGTCGGTGGCATATTCTATCATATATGAAATACTCATCTTCTTCGAAAGTTATGCAGGGTGGTCAGAAATATTATATGATTTTCACGAAATTCAAACTCTCTTCACATAAATTTTTCAAATAGTGCACCCTACAATATGTATGATTTTATATACCATTGGTGGTTTGATTGCTTATGGTCAATAGTTGTGAAAGAGAGATGTGAATTTCATCATCAGCAAATGCAAATAAAAAAAATGCAGTGAACCATTTATTCAACTGTACTTAACTACTAAAAAAAAGTCCCAACAAGAAAAAACTGACCTTGACGAATAATTAGGCACATCTCTCTTTCACAACTATTGACCATAAGCAATCAAACCACCAATGGGATGTAAAATTATACATATTGTAGGGTGCACAATTTGAAAAAATTGATGTGAGGAAAGTTTGAATTACGTGAAAATCATATAATATTTTCTTTCTTTTCTTTTTTTCTTTTTTTTTTTTTTTAATCAGTCGATATCTAACCTAACCAAATCCACGAGAAATCGTCACCTGTATTCATCGATTGTGGAAAAAACTGTAACGAAGTAAAAAGCTTTCATCTTTTTCTTGCTGCCTCATTAGTACGGGTGCTTATAGTATACAAAAACTTTCGTTGAACAGCATGCCGCTCGCACCTAAGGAAACTCAGGCCCACTCTCTGTCAGATATTTTCATTCTGCTCACGAAGTTGGATGCAAAAGTAGATAAAACGCAGGAAACACTTGCGGAGATCAAATTGGAGCTTCAAGGGGCGAACTCTAAAATCTCAATCCTCGAGGAAGAAAACTCCAAGCTGAAAAAGGAGGTCCTGTCACTTGATTATAAACTTCGTCGTAACAATATCATTGTGTTTGGCATTGAACTCGAAGATAAATTGAAAGCTCTCTCGGTCCTTAGTGACACGCTCGAGGTACCTATCCAAATAACGGATATAAACAATATTCATTCCTTTTTGAGCAAAAATAACAAAAGGACCCTGAAAATTGAGCTACTCTCTTATTACAAGAAAATTGAGATACAGAAAAGTTTATACAAGCTTAAATCTACTAATATCTTCGTTGCTAATGATCTCAGTCAAGAAGACCAGATCATCCATAAATCTTTGAGGTTACATCTCAACACAGCCAAGGATAACGGTATCAAAGCCAGCATTAGGAGAAATCACCTGATTATCGATAATAACGCCTATTCTCTACCAGATATCCAAGCGAATCCTGATATTCTTAGATCTCAGAAGAACAACCTGGATGACGAAGCGAGCAGTAACAAAAGGAAGGACATTTCTTCACCTGAGGTGTCTACTGCCAAAAGAGCTCTGAGATCTAGAGCTCCTACCGTTTCATAACCTAATTTATCATTCTCTATGAACATATATAATTAATACTTCTGATTCTTTTGGTTTATATTTTCACCTAACCATATTTGTATTTTCAGCTTTTGATCTCAATTCTGTAATATTATTTTTCGTATACCTCTCCCCGTACTAACACTTGATCAGTTTTAGCTTCTTTTTCGTAGCATTCAATTATTCAATTCAATAATGGCAAAGTCGTTCACTTTTTGTCACTTGAATGTGAGATCTATCTTTACTGGGTTTGACTTACTATCACAACACATCTCAAATGAAAAAACTGATATTCTCGGCCTCACTGAGACGTGGCTTACACCTGCTATAGATAGTAATACAGTCAAGATCGACACTTATCAGCTACTACGAGCAGACCGAGATGGTCGGGGTGGGGGAGTGGCGTTTTTCATCAAAAATATCTTCCAATTCAAAACTATTCTTTCGCAAATATCCCCTCATCTTGAACAGCTATGGATCTCAACTACATATCGCGGAAAAAAATTCACATTCGGTGTTCTATACCGCCCTCCCTCAGGCGATATTACTCAATGTATTAACGAATTGGAGGACACTGTTGCCAACCTGTTTCCTTTAAGTGATTTTTTTCTAGCAGCTGGCGATCTCAATATAAATTTAATGATAAATGACCGAAGAAGTCAACTTCTAGTCGACTTTTTCAATTCTTTCAATTTTAGCCAGTTGGTGGAAAGTCCTACCCGCATCACTCCTCACTCACAGACCCTCTTGGATGTGTTGTTTGTTTCTGATAGAGAAAATGTGCTATCTACAAATGTTCATGACATACAGGGCATTTCAGATCATTTGGCTATAACTTGTAAAATTGATATTATGCAATCATCTCACAATGTTAAGACTATTTACTTACGTGACTATCGCAACTTCGATGCCGATCTATTCCTTTCTGATTGTCAAACAATCGACTGGGACTTTATGTATTCGATTGATGATGTTGATGAAATGATATCATTTCTGAATACCAATATATTAAATGTCTTCGATAGACATGCCCCTTTTTTCAAAAAAAGATTGAGTAAACCTCCTGCCCCCTGGCTGACTCATAATATAAAAGAGATGATATCCCTCAGAGATCGTGCATTCAGGAAGTATAAGAACACACTTTCCGTTCCACACTGGAATAGTTATAGGGAACTGAGAAACTACACTACTGGTGCAATCCGCAGAGAGAAAAAAGCATATCTCGACTTTGTCCTTACCAACAAAAACTCTAGAACTACATGGAACACTTTACGCACCCTCGATATCCTGAGAAAAAAGATTAATCCAGATATCCCTAGCAACCTGAAAGATGCCAATCGGATAAACGAACATTTTATCACAGTCTCCCAGCCCGCCAGTACTGCCTCTCAAGTGGCATTATTGGAACATTATTGCAATCCCCATAACTTACCTCCTCCGGAAGTTCACTTTAATTTCTCAGTTGTTACAACCCAAATAGTACAAACCTATTTACTACGCATCAAGAGCAACGCTATTGGATCTGATAATATCTCAATCCGAATGGTTCATCTAATCGATTCTCTCATACTTAATCATTTTACCTTCCTCATCAATGCTATAATTGAAAGTGGTCAGTTTCCCAACTGCTGGAAAAATGGCGTTGTCATCCCTCTAGCTAAATGCAATTCACCTTCTGACTTCTCTGACCTCAGACCCATCACCATTTTGCCTTGCCTATCGAAAGTTGTAGAAATGATATTGAAGGATCAGATAGTCTCGTTTGTAAATCAACGTGATATTATCACATCTGTGCAATCTGGCTTTAGAGCTCAACACAGCACAACAACTGCTCTCTTGTCCATAACTGATGATCTCTTCAGAGCAGCTGATGAAGGTAGTCTGACGTGCTTGGTTTTACTGGACTACAGTAAAGCCTTCGACACTCTCGATCATGAAATTTTATGCAATAAACTTAGTTTCTACGGCTTCTCTGTAGACGCAGTAACACTCGTGAGGAATTATCTTTCGAACAGGTCACAGAGGGTCCTAATCGATGGTATCTTCTCAGAAGATTTACCTCTCTCCAAGGGCGTCCCACAGGGCTCAATCCTTGGACCGTTACTTTTTAGTCTCTACATATGCGATTTTCACCAATCAATCAAAAAGAGTAATATTCACCACTACGCAGACGATACCCAGTTATATTTTTCTTTCCGTTTGCAGGATTTTGACTCTGCCCAGCTTGCCATCAATCGCGATCTCCAAGCGTTATTCGATATTTCTTCGGCACATAAGTTGAAACTCAACTCGAAAAAATCCGCAGTAATTTTATTTGGACCGAAAAAAATCAGAAATGAAACTCAAAATTTGTTGGACATTCGAATTAACGATGATATACTACCTGTAGTTTCCGAAATGAAAAATCTAGGCCTGTGGCTCGATTCTGAGCTTCGTTTCACAAAGCATGTGAACCTCCTTAGTCAAACTACCTTCAATATACTCAGACAATTGTATCCAAATCGGGATCTACTCAGCTCGAAACTCAAACTCAAACTGTGTGAGTCACTTATCATCTCTAAAGTTTCATACTGTGATAGTATTTATGGACCTGCCTTGCGGCAATCTGACTCTTTGCGCCTGCAACGCATCCAAAATAGTTGTCTACGGTTTTCTATCGGTGTCCGAAAATATGATCACATCTCATCAGCAATGAAGGAATCAGGTTGGCTCAAGCTTGAGAAACTCAGAACTCTGCACCTGTTGAACATCACCCATAATGTACTGACGACAAGCATGCCAGAGTACCTTTCAAAAAAACTGATATCATTTTCAGATATAAATAGATTTGCAACTCGTAACAAATCTATTCTAGTCATTCCCAAACACAAGACTGCAATATTCACTCGCAGCTTCTCGTACATGGCACCTAAACATTATAACCTACTCCCCAGTGAATTTAGATCATATACAATAGATAATTTCAAGAAAAGGCTGAAGCTATACCTAATTCAGTTAGACGCCATAATCACCTAATACCGAACCTTAGCCACTCATTAAGGATTGTCGACTGTCCATATTCCTGACTAACCACTATATACTAAGTATACCACTTCTTTTTTTTC